CAACTAAAACATTTTACTGTTAAACTGCAAACAACGGAACGGCCACTCTGAGCAGAACATGAATGAGGTCGCATAAACCACGTGAGAAAGTTTTCTTTGATAGAAATGGTAATTTTTGGAATTCCTTACGGCATCTCCAGTAGAGCTTTTCGAAATAATGCTCAGTGATTACTTCAGTTCTGTAGTTACTTAGGGTGACTGCCCTAGGCATTACTCTAAGACCACTTCTAGTGTTATCAACCAATTGGTTTCTTGACTCATATGCAGAAGGAATATAACAGTTGTCATAGCATTCCACAACTAAGAACTCTCTCTTACCTCTCAGATACATATACTACAGCGGTTCGCGTCTGGCCAGAAGGCACTTAGTATACTGGGGGAGAAGGCGTGATTGAGTGAGCAGAGCTGAAAAAGAAAAGAACAAAAAGGAAGGTGAGCTAGCCGTTCAGCAAGTGCATAAAGTGCTCCTACATCTAATCTGGAAAGCATGAGACAAGAATCAGAAAAAACATAAGCCTCAGATCAGAGCACTTCAAGTCTAAAGTAGAGGCAAATAGTTTGACTCGATACAGATCACAAGAGAGAAATACCTCATAAAATCTATCAAGTAACTTCTTAGTTCAATCAAGCCCGTCCAGAATTATCTGTTGTAAATATTTTCACTTCTAAATTTATAACGAAAAGCTTGTGTATCGGTTCTTATCTTACCTAAAAGTACGTTTTATGGTGGTGGTGTACAGAATGATATATATGAGGAGGTGTGAAAGAAGGAATAACACAAAAAGGAGTAAACTGACCACTTTGGACTCACATTCAACAATAATGACGAAAGGCAGGAGTTAGAATGACACGGTTAGACGCTAAAAAACTGGATTGAATTTTGACAAACAGGAAGCAAAAGCTCACGCGTTTCAAATTGAAAACAAAAACTGCTTATACATGAACGCCGCAAGTTCGCCAAATAAAATGGATGAGCTACTTGATCTTAGAAATGCTAATAATGCTCATCTGATAGGAATATCTGTAACTTAGATATCTTCTGACTTTACGGACCAGGAGTTAGCAATGCCTGGGATGTCTTTGTTTCGCAATAACAGAAAAACAGGAATCGGGGGTGAATTAGCCTTATACTTACGACCCTGACTAGACACACATCGAGTGGACAACTAAGAGTCTATCAATCCTGATGAAGCCGTATGATGCTCAGTAAGATTGACTCCCACATCGAGGTGTCTATTGGGGGTTATCTACAGGAAGCCCACTGCTGACATGGAGCACGACAGTCGCATGATGGAAGGACTGTCCCGCTCTACGAGTCTCAGATTCACTCATATCCTGGTTCTAGGGGACTTCAATCCTCTAGAGTTAAGTTCGCGGAACATACGTATATTGGAGGTGAAAACTCAACTGAAGCTCGGTTCTTCAACCTCATTGAGGATCTTGGATTATTCGAAAATATGAAGTCGGCAACTCGTTTAAGAAACAGTCAGATACCGGTGCGCTTAGACTGAGTAGTTACAAACGAAGAATTTCTAGTAGACAACCTGTCAATCCTGGTTCCCCTGAGGAAAAGCGATCACGACGTTATAGCCTTCAGTTTTGTCAACAAAACTAAGCTAAGATATCCCACCAACAACAGGCGTTGGAATTTCAAACGGTTGAATGTGTCAGCTCTACAGGACTATATAAAACAGGTGGATTGAGATGTTCAGTAATAAAGACAATGAGTTGGTGAACCTGTGTTAATCCTGACAGATTACCTTCCAGTGAAGGTCCAGCTTCTCCTTGAAAATATTCACTGATGGGGCTGATACCACTTGTTCGGGTAAGGCGTTCCAATCAGTGATTACTCGATGAAAACAACGGGACCCCACTTTAAGTTTATTAGATCGCAGTTTATGAACCTTCTTGCTATGACCTCGGAGATTATTAGTGCTGGAGGGAGCAAAAAGATAAGATATATTAACACACAAATCATAAATAAAGATACGAAATGCTAGTATAAGGTCACCTCGCGTACTACGATATGACAAGGAAAAAAGGTTTAGGCGTTTTAAACGCTCATCGTAAGGGAGTCCAGAAAGAGTTACTATCCCTTGCCAGACATCGGCTAGCTGCTTGTATACAGTACTCTAAATGTGGTCCTACATAGGTGAGATATAAAATTCGAGACATTTCCTCGTCAAAGCATTTGAACGCTCGGTGAAGTGAACATAACGCACGAAAACCTTTTACAACGGCTGCTATGCAATGCCTAGTTGTTTTTAAATCATGACTTATTACTACGCCTAAGTTTTTATGTTCTTGAGCACATGGAAGAGGTTTACCCTAAATAGTATAACGGTAACTATTACCGTGACCGATGTGCATTAGCACACTCTTCCTAGCATTGATTTCCAAGCCTCACTCTCGAGCCCATCTAACTAAATCGTCTAAGTCAGCTTGAAGATCCAGATGATCAGCCACACTTTTCATTGTTATCCAGACTTTTACATCATCCGCAAACAATAATGTCGACGACCTAAGTAACAGCGGTAACTCATTACCGTAGAGAAGGAAGAACAGAGGGCCTAAGATGGTGCCTTGGGGTACACCACATTTGACCGACTTCCAATCGGATTGCGTCCCATTGACCCTCACTCTCTGTCTGCGGTTACCTATCCACACATGTACAGTACCTATCATTCCGAAGCTCGTGAGCTTCTGCATAAGACCTACGTGTGAAACCTTGTCTAATTCTTTGCTAAGATCAATGAGTATCACATCGACAGACAGACAGACCGTTATCTAGGACTGCTGTTCAATCCTCCCTCGCATTAAGCAAGTTAGTCAAGCATGAACGCTTGTTACGAAATCCGTGTTGCTCAGGAGCTAACAGATTGTGTGAATCTATGTGGCTTAGCAACCTAACCCGAATTATCTTTTCAAGCAACTTAACGACGATGCTAGTTAGACTGACAGGCCGTGGTCAGATGCGATCTGTCTCTGACCATCCTTAAATGTAGGACTGACAATAGCGTCCTTCCAATCTGTAGGGAGTTGAGCGAGTGAAAGGGACATGTTGAAGAGTGTCGCAAGCGGTTTTGAAATAATGTCCGCAAGAGATGACAGCAACCGTGGATGTAACCCGTCAGGGCCCGGTGTCTTACCAGGTTCGAGGTTAGTTATCAACGGAAGGACAGTTTCCTCAGTCACCTGTACAGATTCAATGGTTGGTATCTCGGTGTGAGTGGGACAAGTATTTGTTACGATAAACGTAGAGTAGACTTCGCTAAAATATTTGGAAAAAGTCTCAGCTGTTGCTCCATGTGATTCAGCTAGTAAATCTGAATGTCGTATAACAGTAACGGGGGAATACAATCACCACGTTTCATTCGCCGTTTAACACACGTAAACAATCGTTTCGGACAAGTACGGCCATTGTATACCGACTGTCGTTCGTAAGTGATACGGGATTTGGCTATGGTTTTCTTACTGATATTACGGAATTTTTGGTACTCACGCTTAAATGATGCATGACCTGTCAACAAGAACAAGTCCCAGAAATGTTTTCTACACTTTAACAGCTTCCGGGTTTCCTTATTAATCCATGGAGGGCAATGTGATAGCTTACGTGCTGACCATGGGGTAAACGGCGACGTTACGGACTCGAATGTCGCCTTAAACTTATTCCATTCATCTTCAATCAATCCATCCGCGTCGACCGACCAATCAGTCGAGATAGCACAGTTTCTGATTGCCGGAATATCTGCTCGACAGATATTGGGACGGCGTGGAGCAGATACAGATCGTATACTGTGTGTCCCAAACATCCTCACGGTGGTGGGTGGTGGCGAGGTTCAGCAGCGATGGATCATGTTGCAAATCAATATGTGTGGGTTTTGTGTTACATTGTACAAGTGCACACTGAAGAACGGTAGATAAAAGCTCGCTATCGGAACCACTAACTCCGCCTGTAGCTCTTATAGGGTTACTGCCGGTCCCTAGCCCGGGTAAAGGAGGAGGGTTGGGCATGGGGTTAGCGTCCCCATCCCGTAGAAAACTAACTCGCTAAAAAACGCTTACCAGAAAAAATAATCCAAACCATTTTAACTCTGCCCTGGGAGTTAGAAGGTCTTCATTTAGAAGAATTATGACGCTTCATGGTGAAAGCCAAGCTCCTTCGGAAGCCATGAGGCCGATGCCCCTTCTAACAACCAGAGCAACAATTTTTATAGGTACATGGAACGTTCGAACAATGTGGGATACCGAGAAGACCAGTCAAATAGCAATGGAAATGAGGAGATACAACTTAGCAGTACTGAGAATCAGCGAAACCCACTGGACCCAGGCTGGACAGAAAAGGCTAGCTACAGGAGAGATGCTGCTATACTCCGGTCACGAAGAGCACAATGCTCCACACACTCAGGGAGTCGCTCTTATGCTGTCCAAAGTAGCACGAAATGCACTTGTAGAATGGGAATCTCACGGATCCAGAATCATCAAAGCATCATTCAAAACAAAGAAGGAGGGGATCTTAATGAATATTATCCAATGTTATGCACCCACCAATGCGAGCAACGACGACATTAAAGATCAGTTCTACGAGCGGCTACAGTCAATCATTGAGAAATGCCCAAGGAAGGACCTAACTATTCTGATGGGAGATCTAAATGCCAAAGTTGGAATAGACAACACTGGATATGAAGATATTATGGGACGACATGGACTGGGAGAGAGAAACGAAAATGGAGAAAGATTTGCAAATCTATGTGCATTCAACAAATTGGTCATAGGAGGCACAATATTTCCACACAAGCGTATACACAAGGCTACATGGATCTCACCGGACCACACTACAGAGAACCAGATAGATCATATTTGCATCGACAAAAAATTCCGAAGGACAATGGAAGATGTGAGAACCAGGAAAGGAGATGATATAGCTTCAGATCACCACCTAGGTGTAGACAATTTAAAACTGAAGCTAAAAATGGAACTGGACAAACAGCAATACAAAGGTTCAATACAGCCTTCCTTCGAGATACTGACAAACTCAATGAATTCAAGATAGCTCTCAACAACAGGTTCCAAGCCTTACAAGATCTACTGAAAGAAGAAGAAACTAGTATGGAGGACAACTGGAAAGGCATCAAGGAAGCATTGACTTCAACATGTCAAGAGGTTCTAGGTCTAAAGAAATACCATCATAAGGAATGGATCTCTACAGAAACACTGGACAAGATCAAAGATAGGAAGAACAAGAAGGCAGCAATGAACAACAGCCGAACACGAGCAGAGAAAGTCCAAGCACAAGCGGAATACATGGAAGCAAACAAGCAAGTGAAGAAAAGCATTAGAGCCGACAAGAAGAAATACGTGGAAGAATTAGCAACGACGGCGGAAAAATCTGCTAGAGAAGGAAATATGAAACAGCTTCACGATGCGACGAAGAAACTAGCAGGGAAAAATAGTAAAACAGAGAGGCCAGTCAAAGACAAAGAAGGTAAGCCAATCACCGAAATTCAACAACAGCGGAACAGATGGGTAGAATACTTCGAGGAACTCCTGAATAGGCCGGCTCCAATGAATCCACCGGACATCGAAGCAGCACACACAGATCTTCTATAGATGTCAACTCACCAACGACGGGAGAAATCAGAATGGCCATCAGACAAATCAAGAACGAGAAAGCAGCAGGACCCGACAACATACCAGCTGAAGCACTGAAATCAGACATCGAAGCAACCACAAGCATGCTTTATCTTCTATTCAAAAAGATTTGGGAGGAGGAACAAGTGCCAATGGACTGGAAAGAAGGACACCTCGTCAAGATTCCAAAGAAAGGTGATCTGAGCAAATGTGAAAACTACAGAGGCATTACACTACTGTCAATACCAGGGAAAGTCTTCAACAGAGTTTTGCTGAACCGGATGAAAGATGCAGTAGACGCCCAACTTCGAGATCAACAAGCTGGATTCCGTAAGGATCGGTCGTGCACAAACCAAATTGCAACACTACGGATCATCGTTGAACAACCAGTTGAGTGGAACTCATCACTATACATCAAATTCATTGATTATGAAAAGGCATTCGTCAGTGTAGATAGGACATTATGGAAACTTCTTCGACACTACGGAGTTCCTGAGAAGATTGTCAATATTATCCGGAACTCATACGACGGACTACAGTGCAAAGTAGTGCATGGTGGACAGCTGACAGAGGCATTCCAATTAAGGACCGGAGTCAGACAAGGCTGTTTACTCTCTCCCTTCCTCTTCCTTCTGGTGGTCGACTGAATTATGAAGACCTCGACATCTGAAGAAAAACACGATATACAATGGACAGCTCAGAATCAATTAGACGATTTGGACTTCGCAGATGACCTAGCCCTCCTATCACGTACACACGAACAAATGCAGATAAAGACAGCCAGTGTAGCAGCAGTCTCTGCATCAGTAGACCTCTTGATGGCGAAACTCTGGAAGATGTAGAGTCCTTCACATACCTAGGAAGCATCATCGATGAACAAGGAGGTTCAGATGCAGACGTAAAAGCAAGGATTGGCAAAGCAAGGACAGCATTCCTACAATTGGAGAACATATGGAACTCAAAACAACTTTCAACCAATATCAAAGTGAGAATCTTCAATACCAACGTCAAGACAGTTCTGCTGTATGGAGCTGAAACTTGGAGAACCACAACAACCACAATCAAGAAAGTACAAGTATTTATAAATAGCTGTCTATGCAAGATACTGAACATCCATTGGCCGGATACCATCAGCAATAGCCTTCTGTGGGAGAGAACAAACCAACTTCCAGCTGAAGAAGAAATTAGGAAAAGACGATGGAAATGGATAGGACATATATTACGCAAATCGTCAAACTGCATCACGAGGCAAGCCCTAACTTGGAATCCTGAAGGGAAGCGGAAAAGAGGAAGGCCAAAGAACACATTGCGTCGGATAATAGAAGCAGATATGAAAACGATGAATTACAACTGGACGGAGCTCGAAAGGATTGCCCAGGACAGGGTTGGATGGAGAATGCTGGTGAGTGGTCTATGCTCCTTCACGAGGAGTAACAGGCGTAAGTAAGTAAGTAAGTAATCGAAACCACTACCTGGAGCTGTAAGCTCTATCCAGTTGATATGCAGTGCGTTGAAGTCCCCAACGATGAGATAACATTCTGGCATACTCCAAAAACAGATGTGTCTTAGGATAAAGTCGTCAGCAAGACAAAACGGACTACGGTATATTTCCCCTATAGTCACTAACCCATTTCTAGATTTAATCTTACAACATGCAACCTCATATTTCCCACTGATATCAGCCCCAGATATGGTTGATTTGTAGAACTATGGTCTACTATAATATTAGTTCTGCTCTAATAATAGACCTAATCCTAAAATTGTAGATCTGTCATGATATAACTGCCTAATCTATAAGATCTTACGTGGAAGTCACACCATCGACTACACCGACTCACTGTATCGTATCAACTACCATTACATAATGTAGAACAAGGTTAGGCTAGAGAAAGAACAATATATTTCGTATGAATAAAAGATATAAGGTAATATTACAAAAGAAACACGCCTGCATGGCCGAGCCATGCCACTAGATCAACTCCAGTCCATTCCATTCATTGTTCGCGCCTTCTCCATTGTTAGGTATTTCTCCGTGTTAAATAATGAATATCTATTTTCTGAGTAGTCTTGTGTTCAGCTTTGAAGATTGTGTGGTTATGGTCCAATGCCGCTACAGATTGTATACGAAAGTGATCCCTAATATGTAAAATTATGCCTCCCCACTTGCGACTTAAAACTCTATCACTTCTAATACAGATATAGCCTGTAATGGACGGAGAACATTCTATATCTACGGTGAACCAAGTTTCTGTAACAACAGTTACATCCGGGCGTAATTCGTCCACCACCAGACTTAGCTCGTACGCTTTATTTCTCAGACTACGGGCGTTCGTGTAGCACACACTTAAGGTGTTTTGGCAATCAATCGTTCTACCCACACAGGCCTCGGAAGCATTGGCTTCCAAGACTCGACTGCCCGAAAATCCTTAATGGTAAGGTTGGTTTCGCCATTCACTTGCGAGTTCTCAACTCAGTAAGCGCATTCTTTCACGTGATTCGATCCTCAAGCGGCCAATTTGGTCGGATAGGAATATTCCAATCACGGTTTTTTGTGCGTTTTTCAATACTATATATATCTCTCTTTGACGAGGCTATAAGTTGGGACTTTGGAGGAGTGGTCTGAGAGTCCATCAAAGACTTATCAAGTAAACAGTCATTAGTTTTAGCTGTCTTTCCTACTCTTATGCGTTTCCGTGTCATCCATTTTCCATAAGTCGTAGCATCCACATTAGAACCACTCAGGACAGTAATTGTTTTATCTGGGTCACCGGTTGCTGCTGTAGCAGCATGGCTACCGATATCTTATGGGGTGTCACTCATTGATTGTTTCGGGGTCGAGGGTTTAACAGCAGGTTGCACAGTTAGATGTCTGGCTTGTGCCGTGACAGCACTTACGACACTAACGCAATCTTCGCCATCAGTACCAATATTACCAGTACAGCCCTCATCAACCTTCTTATTAGCCAACACCAGGAGACTAATTACTTCCTGGGTAAGCAATGTTTTGCTCGAGCAACAAGAACTACAAAGCCAATGCGAGTTGGGCTTTGAGCACCTTTTATATGCAGTCGGGATTAAACGGGTGCACATCTTATGGAACCACTTATTACACTCATTACACTGCATCTCTTCCTCCACGGGGAATAAGCAATACGGTTGTCCACACTTATGAGCAGAGCCGGCCAGCTTGAAAATCAACTACAATGGTGACACAAATACGATATGTAAAAGAATTCCCAAACCTTAACTAAATAAATCAAGTAAAAGTCGACCAAGTAAGCTTCGATGCAATAAACACACAAAAGCGAAATCGAAACACTCAATAGAATATCACTTTAACTGGAGTAGATGTAGTTAAAGTGTAAACAGTAGTTTTGATGCGTAATTTACGATCAAAACATTTAATTAACTCAACAATACCACTGATTTTTTTAGATAGCGCATTCAAAAAAATGAAGAGCCTATTCCGTTATCCAGCCTCTTTTCGTTATGCTATAACTGGAATTTCCCAGCCTCTATGTGCTAATGACCCGACCAATAACGACGGTGACGCCACTAACCTTTCGGCTGGACGATACTCTCAGACATTTCAACCGATTCACATTGATTATATTGAGGAAAGCTTCGTCTGCAACTGCACAAGACTTTTTGTAGTGAACGTGAGTGCTGACTTTGTGTTACGGAAACTGCAACACCTAGGAAAAGACACTTCTCATGACTCGGATATGGTTCATTCTGTTATACTAAATGAAGCAGCCTCAATCCTGGCAACACCGATTAGCGTGGTGTTCTCACATTCGCCAAGCCAAGGCTAACTTCCGGAAATTCGGGAGCTGGCTCACATCACACCAATTTTTAAAGGAGGTCGACGCAGCATACCTTCAAGTTACCAATTGCTGGCTCTTTTCTCTATACCTTTAAAAATTATAGAGTCCCTGATACGCGGCGCTATACATGACTATTTATTGTCCTTAAATTCCTTTTAACCCAACAGCATGGTTTCAGGAAGGGTCATATTGTATAACCAACCTGCTGACTGCGGTGGAAAGATGGACTTTGTTTACCTTGACTTCTCAAAAGCTTTTGTTAGAGTCAACCATATATGTCTAATCAATAAGCTCAAACGACTGGGTATCACATCATCTCTAATTGACTGAGGATATACAAGCACTTCAGGAGGATCAGACTCGACTTAAAAGTTGGGCAGATGGCAACAGACATACATTTAACATTTCAGTGTAATGCAGTCCATCTGCGACATGTTGTAAACTACAGTTACAACTTAAGAAACTCCTCTCTAGTAGAACCCCGAGTTTAAAAAGATTTAGGAGTCCTGCTACTTCACGATTTGAAGTCTTACTCTGTGAGAAATGTGCTTTTCGAGCAAACCTTGCAATGATGACACTGAAGGGCATTTTTGGCCACTTTGACGGAATAACTTTCCACATAATCTTCAACAGGTTATTTCGTCTCCATTTGGGGTAAGGAAACACAGTATTTCCTCCCTCACTCCAAAATCATGAGGACACTCCGGAGATTATTCAACGGCGAGCCACGAGATCAGTTCAGGGATTGTTGGGATATTCAGAAAAATATCCCAAAAACAATTTCCCGGTTAAGTCTAATGCTACCCTCGAACGTTAAATGGTGTCATTTTCCTATTGGTCGTCTCTCTACTGATCAATATTTATTTCGCGTGTCATTTCCCCATTGGTCAATATTTACTTCACGTGTCGTTTCCCTACTGGTCAACGTTTATTTCACGTGTCATTTTCCTGCCAAATATTGTACAATGTTATTTTCCATTTTATGGTGCGGTGTGGTCTGCTTGATTGGTATATAAACAGAGTATGTTTGAAATAAAATGATTCATATCTCAGAGGCTGAGACTTGCGTTCTGGACTCAACTGGCTGGGCTAGACAGGAAAGCGAGAGCAATCAGAACTGTAGGCCATTCTTACGTGTTTACGCGTCTTTGGTTCGATCGATAATTCGCTGCGTCTAATCTGCAGTCACAGTTATAACGAGGACTGGAATTCAAACTTTATGAAGAGCGCCTCCAACCACTTAACCTTTAGCCATTACAGTAGAGGCCTCTAAGAGGTGACCTTCTATTGGCTTACAGTATCCCTAACACTTCTGAACATCCCCTCAAACACCTACTTAAGTTTAGCTCCAACACAAACCTGAGGTGTAACACTCAGTAATTGGAGACACAACACAGCAGAACGGGTTGTAGACACAACTTCTACTCCTTAAGAGTTGTCAAATGCTAGAATTCGCTGCCGGCTGAACTAGTCCAAGCGACTTCTTAGGAGTTATTTAAGAGGAAACTTGACCTATTCTTAAGGTTTATGGATAACATCTTATTATGATTTACCAATTCCTTTTTTCCTCTATTATCGTGAAGATGACACAGGTATTCAGTGTTTGACAACGCTTTTACCAGTAACACCTAATATAATTCGTTCCCA